CTAACGCTCAAGGATAATACAACACTTCCTCAAAGCAATGGCAAACTATTATTAACTTTTATTAACCATANTTTACCTTTAACGGAAAAATAAGTTTTATAGATATAGTTTATAATAATATCTTTACTTGCAGCAAAGTTTATTAAGTAATATAAAATTTTAGAAAATTTTTGTTAATAATTATTGGAGAATAATTGTTATTATTATTTTATTATTTCAAACTAAATTTGCATATATTTTAAGAGAATACAATTTCGAAAAACAATATTCTCGTAGTTCTAAACTGCAATACTTGCTCAAGGAAATGCTAAGGATTTTCCAAATAAAAAATAATCATTTTATTGTTAAGAATAGAAACATCGACATTTTCTATATAATTAATTATTTTCAATATAAATCAAATGATAGCGATATATTTTCCAGGTGTTAATGGCTCGAAAACACGCTCTTAATTTGGGAACGGTGCCTTATATTTTTTATTGCGATTATGTGGCCGCACGCTCTTCGATGCGGAAAAGTGAGGGAAATTTGTGGTTAGTTTGTTATACATCGGGGAAGTATTTGAGGAAACAATTATGGTGTCGGTGGTAAGCTCGATATTACGTAAACACAAGGACGCTACAAGAAGGGAAGATAGATAGCTTGCTGACGATTGGTCAGGCTAGAGAGGTGAGCTGTCGCTTGAACCCCTACGAACTGGTCCTGGATTCAGTTGGCGACCAGGATCCGTCGCGTGCGCTTCGATGCTTGCTGGCTGCTGTTCTCGTTGGATTTTCTTATCTGTCGCGCGTTAATAGTCCATAATAGTTACAATAAATTTAATTAAAAAATATGCAAATTACACAGACGTTCTCGGCAATTAAAGGAAATATTAAATAAAAATAAGAAATAAATCTTGTGACAACGTGTGTAACACTAAAATTACTTCTAACGAGAACATAATTTTTGAATCACTTTGTTCTTTATTGATTTCATAAGAAACTCCGTCTTTTAAATTTTAAAAATGTTCGGTAATTGAAACAATATTCAATAATATTAAAAAATCTATTCCCTTCTGCGTGAGAATATGTGCGCTTCTGAAATTGTTTTCTATGAGAATTTGCTGAAGAACCTTTTAGTTTTTATATACTTTATGAAGAATTATTTTTGTTTCATTCTGCAAATTCATTTTTCTTATAGTCGGCAATATAACTTTAACATTAAACTTATGTTTGATACGAAGATAAATTATTTAAGAAAATTTCTTCTTTCTTCCTATTATAAAAAGATAACATTTTTTCGTTTCTTGTGCTTTGAAGAAGTAGATCAAATTACCTCATTTTAAAGCCAAAAGATTAATCAAAAGAACTGCTTACTTAATTATTTCCTGAAATTATTTCTTTGTACTACTATTGCCACCTTAATCGTTTAGTGATACTACTGTGAATCAATTTAGGTGCATAATCCAAGTTCACATTAACAATTCATAATGAGAATTGTATCGCGAAATAGAAGGCGGCACAAGTCATTCAGTAAGAATTTCAATAATTTTATTAACATCGAAATGGAAGAGGAAGCTTAAGTTTTCTTTAGTTTAAAAATTTATTGTGTGATTTTATGTCACGATATTGAAACGAATTTTATAAAGGTATTGTCATTCTAGTTTGTAGTGCACAAAAAATTTAATTAAAATTTTCAAACGTCGAATAATTGTTTTATTGGCCGACGTCGTGTATTGAATATTCAACAGTTTTCTATAGAGTCAAAAATTCTTCTGGACTTTTACTCCGTAAAAAAGCCTGTCACAAATCGTTTTAACTACCAAGTATACTGTTCAAACTTCAGTGAAATTTTATCTATTAACTATTTCGTTAAAAAATTAACGCACATCAAATACAAATAATAAAAAGTACTAATTGCTTAATGTCTGACGTAATCTCCGTCATTTTATATTTGAAACCAGTAGTGATTTAAGGACTGAATAAAAATTCAATTGAAATTTTAAGGAACGTGATCTTATTTATAAGAATTACATTGGTTATTTGACTGAAGTATTCAATATATTTTCGTGGCACGTTTGAAACAAAATCGGCTGCGACCGGAATGGGAATTTGGTCAAAATTCGTATGGAATCCTTACAAATACCTTTTCTTTGTTGCTGGAATGATATATCGTTGCATAACAATTGATTAAACGCGATTGATACCTTGAATATCGCGCTTCGCAGAAATGTTCAATTAATATATTCGAAATACCGAATGTCTCTATATTCTACTCAAAGCGAACAGATTGACAGAGAACTCAGTGTCGTACATTTAAAATTTTCAATTTCTGTTTCACTCGACAAATTACTTTGATTTCATGAAACTTCTCAGACAGCAGAGTTCGCAGTCAAAGCATTAAATAATATAGTTGAAAGTATCAAACATGATGAAGATTACAAATCATTTTTCATGAATCAATGCATCTTTTCAAGAAAGTAATCGGAGTATTATAATTCATTAGTGCCTCCTTCTGTCTCGTGCTTAATCCAAGATGGTGTGAAATGTAGGAAGTCATCCATAAATTCGACTACAATGACACGATCCTCAATTTCCTTCGAACTGATAAGCACTGCAGATCTGGAATTCGCATTTCATGCGAAGGTTTTTCCACATCATTTGCTAAGTAGAGTCCGATTTTTCCAGTAAAAACTTGCCTTCCTCAAGACTTCCTTCGAGCATGAATAAAACATTATATTAATGTTTCAAACAAATTGAAAATTACATAGCTGTTTCAAACGAATAAAAAGTTATAACCGATATTTATATTAGATCTTAATTTGTCTGCTTCTGGAATTTTTGTGAAAATTTTAGATCTTTCGAAAACATAGTCTGACTCTACGTGTTCACTGAACTAATTACCATATCTTATCGAATGAACGAATATAAATTAATACTCATCAGCTACTACTTCATTTGATTGCAACTAACAAATTTGATCGAAACGATGCTTTATGAAACAATTGTGTGATCTTGATCGATGAAACGATGATCGTTTATAAATAAAACGTTTCGCGTTTGATTTAATTGAATTACCCGTTGGGATGCAATCAGTCTTTTCAGGATTCGTTGTTTTCTAATAAGTATGGAAATTAAGAGCTATAGAGAGTGTTCTGTATTTATCGAGATTTTTCAATCGGTTGTCCTCAAAAAAGATTGGCTGGCGTAGTTTGCGGGGGCGTCGGAACGAGCTGTCAATATCAAATGAAAGGTGAAGATCATTTGCTAACTGACTTGCATTAAAGCGAAATCTACTGATTACTGCACATTGCGCGATGCTTCGAACGGTTCCAGCAATCGAATCAAAGTTTAATTAAGTCTGTAAATGTTCTTCATAATAACGCAGACATTCTTGTGCACGTAGAATCTAATTCTTCAGCATGGTCATCCAAATAAAACCGAGGACATGGAAAATTATTTCAGCATAATCTGTCTGTCTTTTAAACATCCTTTTTTGTTCTTTTAAGTTTTTATTTGATTTAATATTTATTCGATAGTATCGAATAAAATTTTATTCGTTAGTCTTTACCCATCTATTCTATTATCTGTGTCTATTCATTAGTCGTCATCCGAATAAAATTTTGCTCTGGTCGAAACCAATGACGCTTGATAAATAATAAAACGCGTGCTAGAGCGGTTTCATCTGCGAAGGTGTAATCAAATGAACCATCAGTGAAATCGAATACTCTTTTTTACAACGATCTAGTAGCTTTCCTCTTTATACGTTAAAAAAAAAGGATTGCCTCAATCATCACGGATCACAAAGTTTACAGCCGCACCATTCCCTTGAAAACTTAATTTCTACTTCCCGAATGCAGTGAACGGTAAAACAATTCCTTTTACTGGCCGTTCCGAGTTCAAAGTGCAGTACCATCAATAGGCCGATTTTGCGCCACTTGTTCTCCCATTGAACCGTGAACAAGCCATGAGAATTTCTTAACGCGGCTAGATCTCGCGAGGAAGACGCAATTTCGTGGTTTTAACGAGCGAAGTTGAACCACGTTCTCGATGTCAGAAAACCTTGGTTAATCATGCGGGGTACGCACCGTTGATTTACGATCACCACGTGTGGAAAACTTTGACAAAGTTTGGGCCAGTATTCTGGTATTCTTATTCATATCTGTGCTCCGAGTACTGGCAGCGATCGTGAGTACGCACTGTGATCTCTGACCTGTCGGCGATCGGAAATGAGCTAGGTAGATTGTACCAGTTGTCTGGAAAAACGTGGATCAATATTTCTTCTAATTGAATATTCTACGATTCAGCTGGCCATTTTCTGTTATCCATACAAACAAAAGAGCAAAATCTATATAAAATTCGATTTAAACACATTTATTACTCAAATTTGTAATTCATCGTTCTTATTTAAACATTCTTTATTTAAACACCTCTTATTTAATTCTTATTCAAATTAAGACAAAACATTATTTATTTTCAATTAAGTCGCAAACAGTATCGATGAGATAACGAATAAATAAAAACAGATCGAGTGTCCGTACATAAAAGCAGGCAATTGTAACTTCAAACAATTTTAATGGTTTTACGATTATTTAAAATAATAATCAATTAACTACAAAAGAGTGAATTAATTGAACCAGGATAAAGTCGCAGTATAGAACACAGTACTAATCGATTTCGATGATGTGTATAATAAACGAACACTTAGTCGTGTTCGAAAAATGTTATTACTTTTCTTAAGAAGCTAATTGAGAAGTATGAAATTAATCCGCCCGTTAAATACGATATCAATAATACAAATTACTATGAAACAGTATTTTTTAAATTAACTGACTCTAGCTAGCTGTGTATTAAAATTTTATTCAATTTGTAATAATTATGCAGTGAATATTTGATCATAGTAATGCTGTTGTAGTAATGCAATCGATTGCATTAATATAATTACGTTAACTATAATTAACAATGTAAAAATTAATATACTGTGCTACTCTACTTAAAAGGATTATGAGAAATAATATCGGTGTGATACAATGTTACTTAAAAACAGAATTTAATTTCTCCCACGATTAAAAAAGAGAAAAGCGTTTTTAATAGCTATTATAAAATATCTTCAAACATGTTGAATGATTTTGCTGATAGTAAATACAGTGGTATAGTGAACAAACGTTTCGTACATACGTGCCGTGTGATTCACTTAAAGACCAAATTGGCGATCATGGTGACGCTCTTAGCGATGCTAACCTTTATTGGTAAGTCAGAATTTAATATTTATGGATACTATATCAGGAAATAAAATTTTTCTGTTTCTATAAATGGACTTGTGCGTCAGTTATGTAACCACTATGAAAATCGCAAACAGGTTTGGTAAAAATACTTTAGATTTCATCAGCAAAAAAAAAAAGAATCGAGAAAGAAACCGACTTTTAGTATATTTCTTACGTTTCAGTGGTCCAATTCTAAATTCTCCATTCTGTTTTTCATCGAACTCAATTCAGTTTGTGAGATCATAACTATGCACATTTATGGCGTCGCGCAGTGAAGTTATTCGGTTGAAAAAACTGACTAAAATTATTTTAACGTTATTTCAAGATTAATGTGCATAGTATTGTAATGTTTTAAATGTATCATGACGTCAGTTATAATACTATGCAGACAAAAGTGTGAAGTGACACTGAACAAAATTCAGATGACCTTGATATCTTAACGAGAAGAATTTCTTTTTGAAATTCTGTATGTTGCAATTTATTGACGATTGAATGCAGATTACCTTTCATTTTAGACATTTTTTCATCAAATATGCATGAGTTGTACAGTGACAATATAATAATCCTCGAATCGCTGGTCAAAATCATTTTAGGTGATCAGTAACCATAATTTTGATCGATTGGTTTATTACATTATCGTTTTGTTATATTATTTGGCCGAACTATGTGTATATTTTCGTGTCATTTAATAACTAACAAATATTTTCGTTCGAAAAATATTCTTTGCGCCGCGATATATACGGTGAACCATTTAATTCAGTCATTTAACACAGCAATAATTAATGTTTTGCTGTTTACCTTTTTCATCAAAATATTTTGAAAAAAAAAGAAACTGAAAGAATTAGAAGAATTAGAAGAGTTAGAAGAGTTAGAAGAGTTAGAAGGGTTAGAAGAATTAGAAGAATTAGAAGAATTAGAAGAATTAGAAGAATTAAAAGAATTAGAA